CTGCCGGACAAAATCTGTTTTATTACCACCTTAAACAGCTTTAAAAAGGTTGTTAAGAGGATCTTTTCTGGCAGGCCTTTTCTGAATAGATATCCTGGCCCCAAGAGTTATCCATCTTTCTCTCCCTAATTTTACCGCAGCTGTTGTTATTGTTATGTGGTGTCTGACTTATTTAAGTATGTTTTAATTTTTTATTGTTTAATATTATTTTAAGGGGTAGGTGGGTTCATGGGAATTGTATTACATTTTTATTGTGCTTTTAATGCTGTAAGCCACCCCGATTGCATCTGCAGAGGGGCGGGATAAAAATAAATTATTATTATTATTATTATTATTATTATTATTATTATTATTAAAGAGATGACAGGGAGAGAAAAAATACAAAATTAGAAATGGAAATTAAACAATTAGAGAATAAATACATAAAAGACAGGAATAAAAAATAATATAGAATTACAAGCAAAAAGAAATGAATTAGAGAAAATAGAAAAAGATGAGGTCCAGAGGAATTTGATATATTTGCGGAGAGAATTTTTTGAATATAGCAATAGGATTTTTAAAATGTTGGCAAAGTCAGCACAAAAAAAAGAAAGAAAGAGAGGAATATGATTGGTGTAATAAAAGATAAAACAGGGAAGATATGTATGACAATGAAAGAAAAGATAAAGATATTTGAAGAATATTACAAAGAATTATATTCAGCAGGGAATAAGTCAGTGGAAAAAATTGAGGAATATAATGAGAAACATTGGAAAATAAAAATAGATGAGGAAGATAAAGAAATAATGAAACAATTGGTTTCAAAAAAAGAAATAGAAGAAGTGATAGATAAATTAAAAGGAGGGAAATCTCCAGTAATCGATGGGTTGGGACCAGAATATTATAAAACATTTTAAAAGATTTTAATACCTAAATTAGAATATTATATAACAAAATTCTAAATGGAAAAAGGATCCCACCATCATGGGACCTTTCATTGATAATACTGATTCCAAAACCAGACAAAGATTTGATAGACCGAGGATCTTATAGATCTATATCCCTTATAAATCAAGATGCTAAAATATTAACAGCAATAATAGTAAAAATAATGAATATGTTTGTACATAAATATCTTCAAAAAGATCAGTGTGGGTTTGTGCAAGGAAGACAAATGTCAAATTTAATAGGAAGAGTATTGAATAAAATAAACATAATTTGGAAGAATAAACAAAAAACAGGAATGAGGGCATTGGATATTTATAAAGCTTTTGAATTTGTGGAATGGCCAGCATTAAGAATAATGTTAAAGAAATAAGGTATGGGGGGAAATTCAGAGGACTGATAAACCAGCTATATTCAAATAACACAGCAGTGGTAATGGTGAACAATGGACTAACAGAGCAAATTCAAATTTCTAGAGGTACAAGGCAAGGCTGCCCTCTCTCCTCAATTTTATTTGCAATAATGATAATTGAAATTTTGGCAAATGTTATTAGGAAGGATGAAATTTGGAGGGAATTGGGATTAGAAAATTGAATAAGATAAATTCGTTTGCTGATGAGACCCTATTGACAATTAAAGATCCATTTAAAAAATGGATAGAGTAAAAAGAAATTTAAAGGAATTTTGGGAAATGTCACACTTATAGGTAAACTGGAATAAATCAAAGTTAATGCTGTTTAATTATACTAACACAGAAGAATATGATTTCCTAAAGGATAAAATGATAGATATTAACTTAAAAGATACAAAAACCTTAACAAAAATTAGAGGAACAAAATTATAATAAAGAATAGAAATTAAAAGGAAATTAGAAGATTATACGATTATTAAATTTTTATTGTGGTTTGGTAGAATTGCATTAGTAAAAATAATTTTTTTACCAAAGATAATTTTTTTGTTCAGGATGTTGCCAATACAAATATCAGAAGCAGGAATGAAAAATTGGCAAATATTAGTGAATAATTTTTGTAATTGGAATAAAAAAAGTGAGGCTTAATAAAATATACTGGTACAAATCCCCCAAAAATGGAGGATTGGCTCTCCCAAATTTAAAATGGTGTTATAATGCATATCAATCTGATGCGTTTCAGGAAAACCCTTCTTCGCAAGCTAATTCTTCTCTTTCTCTTTTTCTACCATTATATCCCAGGACAAGGCAGCCAGGCCACAATGGTTCTGTCACAAAGGACTTTGTCTATTCATGGCTCTGTACCCCTAAAGTTTACTTCTACATCATGATAATCCAGACCCTACAAGGAGAATACATTATATGATTTTGCTTTCTGTTTTGTCATTTTGAGCCTTGAAATTGTTTCCAGCTTAAGGAGATCCTATCATGGGGTTTTCTTGGCAAGATTTGCTCAAAGGGGTTTGCCATTGATTTCCCCTGAGGCTGACAACATATGACTTGCCTAAAGTCACCCAGTGGGTTTCATGACCAAGTAAGGAATTAAGCCCTGGTCTCCAGAGGGGTAGTCCAACATTCAAACCACTACACCATGTATAATTGTATATTATTATCCCCCCCCTCAGATTCTAGCTTTCACATTTTTGGAAATTGTTTGGCAAAAAGGAATGAAATGTAAAAAGAGAATAGTATGAATATACATAAGGGACAGAGGCCAGCAACTGGTGTTCATGCAGTGAGTGAGTGGTGTATGGAATGGGAAAGGGTCCTTAAAGCTGTCAAATTGTAAAGCCGGATAAATTGTAAACAGAGGAAGACAGCAGACTGGCAGTAAGGGCCATCTTGGGGGTGACGTGAGGGTGTGGCACATGCCCTGACTCCACCCCCAAGCCAACATCATGCCGCCCGCCTGCCCAGATGGTGGGCAGTGTGAGAATGCTCCTGCAGTGCAGCCTTTATGAACGCTGCACCGAAGAAATGGGGAAAAACTGCCGCCACAGCAGCAAGGATGGCTTTTTGTCTGATCAAAATGGAGTGGCATTTTGCTGCTTCTTTTTGAGCCAGCAAGCCACCAGATCAGGGCTGTGGTGTGCAGTAGAAGTGGCCCTGATCCGGTGCTCAAAGGGGCGGTGGCAAATCGCTCCTTTGGGGTCAGCTGTTCAGCCCCAGAGTTTGGGAAAGAAACACCTTTTTGGGGATGTCATCAGAATTGGTTGTGCTAAAAAATATTTTTCCAAGGTCTTTGAATTACAGATCCCACACTTTGGGGAATTGTTTTGGTCACAACAAATATGTGTGTATGTGCCTTCAAATGGACATAGCATTAATAGCATACCTTTGATGCCAGATCCCCATAATCATAGATCTCTTCATAATTGCTAAGATCAATGACCTCTCCATAATTGTCCAGGCTGAGGTCATAATTGTCAAGATCCAGGTTGTCATAAATTGCAGTGTCCATTGTTTTGTGCTTCTCCTTCTCCGTCTTTCCATCTTCCTTAGGGAGAGCAGGGAGAGCTAGTGATAAAGACAGAGTGGTGAGGATTACACCCATCAAGGCTGCCGTCTGCATGCTGTGCCTGAAGAAAAGAAGAAGGAACAACAAGAGATTGTTTGTAGCATCATATTAAAACATCATGGAGCCAGTGTGGTGTAGTGGTTTGAGCACTGGACTATGATTCTGGAGACCAGGGTTCAAATCTCCACTCAGCTATTGAAACCCACCGGATGATCTTGGGCAAGCCACAACTTCTCAGCCTCAGAGGATGGCAATAGCAAACTCCCTCTGAAGAGACCAAGAAAACACTTTATAGGGCTGCTGTAAGTTGGAGATGAATTGAAAGTAGACAGCAACAACAAGCATGAATTCTGGATATTTTGGACATTCTAAATATTTTGGACATCAACTCTGCATCCATAAAATGAAAAGAAGGGAACTCTTTGGCTTCCTACCCTGACTAAATTATAATAGGCTCTAATAGGAAAGAGTGTTATAAACACTAACATAGCATATGAGTATTGTTTGAAGCTGAATAGGGTGGAAAAGGTGTGGCCTTTGGTCCCAGACCACAATTTTGTGATCACTCCAAAAGCCACCAGGCAGACCATCAAAGCACCTCCAACTCTACTACCTTTTAGAATGGTGGTTTGGGGGCAATTTTTCACCTGGAAATTACAAAACTGCATCAAAACCATGTAAATACATGGCAGTTTGCAATATCCCAGAAACCCCAACCTCTTCAGTTTCTAAGTTTGCAAACAAACTAAAAATGGCAACTGTAAGTGATGTGAAGCACCACAAGGTGCTTCTTCTTGAGGGTGGTACAGGGCAAATATTGGGCTCTCTCTCCTGTGTGTTTGCCCACCCCTGCACTAGAACCTGTTTTGAATGCATTAACATCACTATCCAGCCTGCTCACTTTCCAAATATGTTCAAAATACAGATGCTCATGTAGAGGCATATTCAGGGGTAGCCATGTTGGCCCTGCAGCAAAATAAAACAAAATCCAAACTCCACAAAGCAGTGATACTTCTATTTGACCAACTAAAAAAAAGCACAAAATATTTAGTGGAAGCTTTCAAAGTTCCACTTGCTTCTTCATTAGACAAATATGTTAAAAATCACAGAGGAGAGGCTACTTAGGCAGAGAACATTGAATATAGAAGCAATTACTACAACTTAAGGAGAAAGCTATCATCCCATCAATCACTTTATTTATAACCTGACTTTTCCCAAGACTGGGATTCATGGATACTTTGAAATGGTAATTGCATTGAAAAAAATACAAATAAAACCATGTGGAGCTTTAAAAAATACAAACAAATTTAAAACAGCATTAAACTATAAACAAAGAAACAGAGAAATCCATAGGAGAAATACATCTTGGTGTAATGGGAGAGGCAGGAGATTAGCATATCTGCTTTTATTGCTGCACTAGGCATGGGATGTAAATGCACAGGGACAGATTCTGTCACACAGCTCCGTCCCCAGGCAGTACTCATCTCGTACTCAACCTGGGCTTCTCTCGGATCTTTTAAAGAATGGGATTTTCTTTTAAAAATGTTCAGGGATGGGGCTATGCAATAGAATAAAACTAAAAATAAAAATAAAAACTGGTGTGCTAATCTCCTGAGATTAGGGGCACATCTATACTGTAGAAATAATTCAATTTGACACCACTTTAAGTGCTGTAGCTCCTTCCTATGGAATCCTGTGATATGTAGTTTTGCAAGGTCTTTAGTCTTCTCTGGCAAAAAGTGCTGGTGCCTCAGATCCCAGGATTCTGTAGGATGGTGTCATGGCTATTAAAGTGGCATCAAATGGAATTATTTCAATAGT